ATAAAATTAAAAAGAATTATTATTTTGGTTTTTTTACTAGATACCTGACAGCTACTAGTCTACCGAACTGCATGTCCCCAGCAGTAATATTAAGGAAGTTCAGAGCATGGACTTTAATGTTACATAGACTAAGATCTGGTAAAATACTTATTAACTTTGTGATCTTGGATATGTAAGAATTTTTGAATCTCAGTTTCTCTATATATTTTTGAGGGGAGATTATTCCTACAGGGGTGTTGTTGGGATTAAATGTGATAACATATGTAAAGAATTTAGCACTCTGGTAAATAGATGGTAGCCATTGTTACTAAAGTTATAATCATTGCTTCTCAAGAAAAAAAAGTATAATATTTGTGGGATTTGATGATTGGGATTTCTGACTTTTTTGAGGAAAGGCTTAAGCAGCCTGGGTGGGGAGGAAGCCAGAATAAGTAGAGGCAGAATTTATGGACTCCTAATTATTTGTGTAATTGTTGACTAATACCTCCCCCCCCCCCCCCCAAATAGAATTCCAAAAAGGCAGGGACTTTTTTCCTTTCTTTTGTATCCCTTGATTTTGGAAAAGTGGTAGTCATATAATCAGTGCTCATATACTTTTTAGAATAGAAACCAAAGATTTTGTTTTTCTTTTTTCCTCCATTCCATACCCCCAGTACTTCAAAAAAAGCAAATAATTAAACATGAGATTAATCCTTTTTTCAGTAAATAATCTCCGGAGTTCCACTTTGAATGTTTTCAGCTCTGAGCCATTGGTTGTGTTCTCTAGGAGATTTTGTAAACTGAAGGCATTGGGCCACATCAATGACACGGTGCAGTTGGAGCCATAGACATCAGTCAGTTGAGTTATGATTTATGCATTCTGGGTTTTGTGCTATTGTGACTCTTGAGAAGCACACCTAATTTCTCCCCCATCCCTGTCTTTAGTTTCCTGAGGATTCTGGGATTGGTCACCTGCTAGTTCTTTTCCTGCTGTTTCACTACCTATTGCTCCCAACTCTTCTGATTTATTTCATTTCAATTCTGAAGTATGAGCCCTTTAAAAGCTTTTTCTGTTAGTGGCCACAGTAGAACATGAATGGACTACAAAAAGGCTCCTTTGTTCTAATTTCTTTACTGAAATGTCACAATCTATGTAAAACACCCTAATGTCTGTATTGGGTCCTGGAGGAAGACTTAGGGAAGATTTGCTTCCTTTCTACTTGCAGGTCTTAAGAAGGATGAGTTTTAGTGTACATTTGATCCTTTTAAAAAATTTTTTATTTATTTTAATTGGGTATATATGATAACAGAATGCATTTTGATTCATTGTACTCAATTATAGCACAACTTTTCATTTCTTTGGTTGTACAGGATATAGCGTTGCACCATATGTGCAGTCATACATATACCTAGAGTAATAATGTCCATCTCATTCCACCATCTTTCCTGCCTCCATACACACTCCCCTCCCCTCCCTCCCCTTTGCCCAATCAGAGTTCCTCCATTTTTCCCATGCCTCCCACCCCCATTATGGATTAGCATCTACTTATCATTTTGCCTTTGGTTTTTTTGGGATTGGCTAACTTCACTTAGTATGATATTTTCCGACTCCATCCATTTACCTGCAAATGCCATAATTTTATTCTCTTAATGCTGAGTAATATTCCATTGTGTATATGTACCACAGTTTCTTTACCCATTCATCTACTGAAGGGCATCTAGATTGGTTCCAGTTTAGTTATTGTGAATTGTGCTGCTATGAACTTTAATGTGGCTGTGTGACAATAGTATGTTGATTCTCAAGTCTTTTGGGTATAGACTGTGGAGTGGGATAGCTGGGTCAAATGGTGGTTCCATTCCAAGTTTTCTAAGGAATTACCATATTGCTTTCCATATTGGTTGCACCAGTTTGCAATTCCACCAGCAATGTATGAATGTCCCTTTTCCCCCACATCTTTACCAACACTTATTGTTGTTTGTATTCCTGATAACTGCCATTCTTACTGGCATGAGATGAAATCTTAGTTTTGATTTGCATTTCTCTAATTACTAGAGATGTTGAACATTTTTTTCATATATTTGTTGATTGATTGTATATCTTCTTCTGAGAAGTATCTGTTTAGCTCCTTAGCCCATTTATTGATTGTGTTGTTTGTATTTTTGGTATTAAGTTTTTTGAGTTCTTTATATATCCTGGAGATTAGTGCTCTGACATGCGTGTGGCAAAAATTTGCTTCCAAAAACGTAGGCTCTCTCTTCTCTTCATTGATTATTTTGTTGAGAAGCAGTTTTTTAGTTTGAATCCATCCCGTTTATTAATTCTTGATTTTATTTCTTGCCATTTAGGAGTCTTGTTAAGGAAGTCAGGGCCTAATTTGACTTGATGAAGATTTGGGCCTACTTTTTCCTTTATTAGGTGCAGGGTCTCTAGTGTGATTACATTTGAGCCTTTTAAATATAATTTCTGTTCACAGTTAGGAACCTGCATTCATACTTCCTGGATTTAATTTCTAGCTTAATTTCCTGCTAATAGTGTGACTTTATGTTCACCTTCTTTGCCTCAGTTTCCTCATCTGTAAAATGAGCATAATAATTACACAGTAGTACCCTCCCTTATTTACAAGGGATGCATTCCAAGACCACCAGTAGATGCCTACTGTGGATAATACTAAATCCTCTGTGTACTATGTTCTTTCCTATACATACATATATCTATGATAAAATATAATTTATAAGTTTTTAGGCCCAGTAAGAGATTGAGGTTTCTGAAGGTTAAGAAGTTTGACAGGTGTGTTGTGCAGGTCAGTACCACCTGGGGAAATTTGAAGGAAAAATGTGTATTTTTGGTTTTGAGTTTCAATCTTTTGAATCTTTGAGAGTTGCATTTTTTTTTTCTTTTTAAAGTTTTTTGGGACTTTGTATTTGGAAACCATAGCCAGGTTAATTTCAAGAAGGAATTTTTGTGTATTTATTGAGACAGGATCTTGCTATGTTATCCAGACTGGCTTCAACTCCTGGGCTCAAGCAATCGTTTGCTTTAACCAGCTGAGTAGCTGGTACTATAGGTGTGCACCACCACATCTTGCTTTCAAGAAGGAATTTGAAATTTTGGTGTTAGGAGTGTCATCTTGCCATTTAATATATTGATTTGATGATTTTATTGTTTGTGTGATAGTATTCAACTAGGTGGTTAATATAAACTTTTAGATTACACTTCATTATTTATAGAATCCTCATTGCATTCTGTATAAACAATTTATTCACACCAGTTCTTAGTAAATGTATATGACTATATCATGGTGTCTTTTTGATCATTTGCTTTAGAAACAATTTTTATTTGTAGAATAATAAGCATATTAATTTGCATAGAATAATGAGAATGATTCAGAAATTGCCTAGGTAATCCAGAATTGACTTGTTCTACATAGCAGTAGAACATGGGTAGTAATGTTTACTAATATGTCATATATGCAGGGTAAAGTGAGCAAACAATGATGAGATACCTTGTAAAAATATAAACTCATCTTGTTGTACTAGGGAAAATGTTGGGAATAAAGAATTACAGATGGAAGGACAAAAATACTTACAGGATATAAACTATTGATAATATTTTATTACTAAAGCCTTTTAAAAACTAGTAATAAAGAATTTTATTATAAATAAACAATGTCTTTAATGGAAATATTTTCATTTTTTCTGAAAACAAATAAAAAATAATTATAAAAAGAAAAATTATTTTCATTTTTATCTAGAAAACTGTAGAGGGTGCTAGAGCATTAGGAATAATCAGAATTGACGTTCTATAGGAATTCACTTAAGTCATTATCACAGTAATTCATTTTTCTTGGTTATACATTTTTAAAAAAATATTTTATTTTTTAGTTATAGTTGGACACAATACCTTTATTTTATTTATTTATTTTTATGTGGTGCTAAGGATCGAACCCAGGGCCTCACACATGCTAGGCAGGCGCTCTACCACTGAGCATTAACCCCAGCCCCTATATATTTATTATATTTTATAAATATATTTGTATATATATTTATTATATTATTATTATTTTGACTGAAATTAGAGTGACTAATATTGCAAAATTGATATTATTTTTAATGAATTTGATTAATGAATTTGGTTGAAAAATGTTTTTCATCTTTCAGATTCTTTGATATGGTTGAAATTATGACCCTCTCACGTAGTTAAGTTAGTAAGAATAAAAAGTTTTTTTTTTTAATCATCTACCTGAATCATGAGCTTCAGAAACAATTTTGGGTAGATGGTAGAAGAATAAATCTTTATTATTCCCAAACTGGGATTGGTAGGCTGTATAAGCAATCTCTTCCTCTTCTCTTCAGATATTTTAGGATCAAAAGATAACCAAACCATATAATGGGATTATATATTTTAGGTAGATTGGTTTAGAAGAAAGATTGTTAAACCAAAGTGGAATTTAAAAACATGAACAGACTTTAAAAGTTATTTTTGGTTAGATAGAAGTCTTGGCTTTTTTGATTGATAAATTTATTATTTAGAGAACAGTTCTATAAATTCCAAATTTTAACTGTTCCCTGGTTTAGTGGTGATTTTAGAAATTTAAGATAGAATTATTTGATCTTTTATCATAAATAATTGCTTTTAGAAATTGTTTTTTAGTAACTTGGATTTTCACCAGTTCTGAAGAATTTAGGCCTTATTTGAACTGGGTCAAGTTAGACTGAGTGGTATATTTTGGAATAAAAGTTGATAATAATTCACCAATCTTTTAATGTTAGGCATCTATGTTATAAAATGCAGGCAGCTTTGAAGAATTCTGATTCAAACCTTGCCAGGAATTTATTTTTCCCTGAAACTATATTTTAAATCTTTATCATGAAGTTTTATTTTATACTATAATTTCTTTAAGAGTCAAGAGAAAATTTGTTCCCTTGTTGCTCTTTCAGCAGTGAAAACATTTTCTTTTGTGGGATTGCTGTTGTAAAAGCTTTCTTATTAAGTTACTCTTTTTTTGTTTTTAATTCTCAAGGCACCACCTTCCATGGTCAATAATGAACAACGCCAACATGCAGAGCACATATTCTTATCATTTAGAAAATCAAAATCACCATTTGCAGTTTGCAAGCATATTTTGGGTAAGTATTCACTTTAAAATATTTTGACATAATCAAATATGGTTTTCCTGTCCTGAACATGTACTATTTTAAATTCCTTTTAACAATAAGCAGATTCTTTTAGCTAATAATTTTCTATTAAAAATTATCATACTGCAGTGGCTCTGAAGATATTCTGGGAAACCAGAAAGGAAACTTTATTTATACTTTGGATTTTTCCCTCTTAGATATGGTGTTCAATAATTTAAAACTGTTAATGGTGGGAGGAAAACTGTTGTTTCAGTTGTTCTTAAGTGTCATATCATTTGTTACAAGACATATACTATAATATATCTCTTCCCCAGTGTTAGTTTGAAAATTAAAATTGCTTTTAGAGAGTTCTGTTTTCTTCTAGTTGTTTTCCCATAGGGTTTTTTTTTTTTTTAAATTTTTAAGCCATTTAATTTGAACTCTACTTGCTTAGCAGTTATCAGATACTTTTGGATAGGTTATCACTGTATATCATAAAATAAAGTACTGTTTTTTTACTTTTGTGAGATTTGTTTTATGAGTACCTTACATGTACAGAAGTGATCTCTTCTAAAAAAAAAAATCACAAGAATTAAAATTTTCTTGTCCAAAGGTGGCATTTTCTAAGAGTTGTATATGACATTGCCATCTGTTTCTTAGATGCTTTTCAATAACAGTAAGGGAGATTTCACTGGTTATTGTTATTTTATAGGCTGATTATTTTTTACTGTTTTCTTAGTTGGAGCCATTTTTTATATAACATGTTTAAGGCTCTGAGTCATCTATGAACATAAAATTGGTTAGTTGAGCATTAGGAGCTAAAACATCTGATTTTTTATTCTTGTGCTTTTAATAGGGGTTATCTGTTACCAATACTCTGGTTTCCAGATTGAAATAAGCCATAATTATGGTTACATGTTTAAAATGCTTTATATAAAAGAGTATATGAGAGGCATTAAGTTGTAATGGAAAGAGTACTGGTGTTGGAACTGTGAGATCTGGCTGCGACTGTCACTTTTAGGAAGCCAGCCTCTCCAGGCCTCTTCTTCATTTGCATTGTGGGAATAATGATACCATTTGCCTTAAGGGATGTGGCTATCTTAAGTTGTTGTGAGATGCAGGTGTAATTACACTTAAAAACACTTTGTGAACAATTTGGTCAATGTCATATCCACATTATCTCATTTAAGATAGTTTTTTAAGAATATGACTGGCTTATAAAATGCTCTTTTCTGTTGGCAAGGAGTTAACAGTAATGGTCAACCTGGCTCTTATATCATTCAGGAATTCTTACTGTTAAGAGCAACAGTTTTAACAACTCTTTCAATTCTAAATGAGGCCATTTTAATTAATTTACTTATAAGTCATTAGTTTTTATACTTCGATGGATTTGTGTTACTAAGAAAATTTCTTTACCTGTGGAGAATATTTAATTTAATATTAAAATAAAAGAAGTAAAACGTTAGCATAAAGAATTTAAGGGAGGCTTACCTCATCCTTACTGCTTTGAAATTGTTCATCATCAATAGATTTAGAAAACTATTGTATTAAACTGTTAACCTAAAATTAGTCTGGTTTTTATGGCTTATGCCTTACCTACATTGACTAGAATTCCATCAGTGTTCCATCTGACTTTCTGTTGTAATGCAGTTGTCATTCTAGATTGGCTGGAAATAGTTGATCTAAGTTATAAGTATTTTATTAGAGCCTATTTGTTTATATCACTCTTTCCTTCCTAGAGTATATATATTTTATGAACCATTATTGCTTTTTTATGATTTGAGTTTGTTTTGGATTATTACTGTTTTCTTGATAAAATTTTCTAAAGAGTAGTATTGCTAGTTCTGGCCGTGCTTTTAATATAGTATGGGTTTTGAGACATTAACTATTTAAAAGGTGGAGTGCATGTATGACAAGCATAATCATTAATGTACTGCATAGCCCTGTGTTACATTAATGTTTACATCTAAACTTCACAAAAAAAATCCTTTTTTAACTCCTTACTCAGTTGCCACCAGCACAGAAGGGCAAATTCCTCTAAGAAGACTTCTCATACAAGTGGCAGTCAATCACAATTCAGAATTTTCACATTCTTATTTAGGGATTATGTGTCATTTTTATAGAATGTCTGGGAAATATATTCTGATAAAGGGGAGATTTTCTCTTTGATGTCTCCCTTTTCTGGTCTCTTAAAGCTCTTCCTTCTAACTTCTTTAACTTGAGTTTTATATGTTCTTATTTTTCCTCATTTCTTTCTCTTTTGTTTTCATTCTAGTTTTTATTTTCTTTACTCTTTTCTGTGTGTATGTGTGTGTGCATGTTGCATGCTTGTGTATTTTGTCAGAAGAGTACTTGTAGCCTACTTCACCACAGAAATCTTTGGTGCTTTGGAATTAGTAAATTTTTTAGGGTCAGTTATTTCCTCAAAAAACCTGTCAGTTCTGTTCTTGTTAAAGAACTAAGAACTGTGAGGGATTGGCTTACCTTTTCTGGAGTTAACTTTGTAACATTCTTTTGTCCTTTTCAGAGGGAGAAATGAGTTTGATTCACCTCTTACCTCAGAACTAGGCAAAACAAAGTGAAATAAACTAACAAAAAGTCAGTGAGACTTATTAGTTCTTTGTATTTGGAAAAATTCTTCAGTAAAGCTATTAATTTTGTCTTCTTTCATCTGAGACTTTATTATTGGTTGGTGGGCATAAATACCATTAAGTCAAAAAAGAAGACTTTTTGATCCTTATTTTTTCTGTGTTTTGGATAGAAATCTTTTAAGGCCAGAGAAGAGGTTGTAGTAGTTGAGCATCAGTGGCTTATTTTTATTCTCTTAAAAACTTTTTTTGATAAGAATGTAGTGCTCTTCCTCTCATATTTACTTCATTTGAACTTTTGTCTGCATGGTTTGGTCTAGTTTTAGATGGCTGATAAGATAAAAATGAATTTTATGTTCATAATGATTATTAAAGAAAGTTATGTGGTGGCAGACAAGGGAAGGCATTCCTGCTAAAGTGTTCTCAAATAATTTATCATCTTGGCAGTGTAGTAGTCAGTGACAGATCTTCTTAAAAATAATTAAAGAAGAAATTCTAGATGAATTATGTTCTTTATGAAAATCTTACAGTTTCATGTATCTTTTTACCAAGGAGTAAAAATAAGCCTCATGGACATAGGTGTTCTATCTCCTATCAGTAGGCTTCTAAAGTTCCTTTAGTTTCTCTTACATTTTTTTATAGTGTGTATAAATACAGCTTATGAAGGCTAATAATGTTTTTTTATGAGAAGATAATATTTAGGAAAATTCTTACTTTAAATTGGAATTTGGCTTTCTTTTTTCCATTCTCAGTAACAGCTTCTTGTAGGAGTAGTAATTTAGAAGTCTTCTTTTAATACCATGCACAGATAGCTAAGAAAAAGTTATGAAACTTTGTTGTATCTTGAAAACTTTGAAATGTCATTATTCTTTTATAATAGCAACCAAAAGGGCACAAAAAGACTAGGATATAAGTATAAATAGTTAAAAATAAGTATGTTTCAGTGCTCATGAGTATCAGAAGGTGCTTATTTGATCTTGTCTTCAGTGGCATATGCATTTAGGGGTGGATTAGTATTGCTAGGAACATTTGCTAGGCTTATGACCTCAAATTTTCTCCCTTTAGTCTTCTGGCATCAGTTTCTTCAGCTATAAAATGTAGGAATTGTATTAGGTGATCTGTGGAGATCTAATTCTAAAATTCTGAGTTCCACAGAGTTTACCTCCTTGTTAAAAAATCTATGTTAAATATTTCCTTGCCCTTAAAAATGCAAGGAAAACAAAGACAGGCAAACAATCATCAATTTCTTTCAGAAGAGGGTCATAAGTGAGAGATTATTTGAATTACTTTATGAGACAGTACTATATTTCTCCTTAAATGTCCTAAATGTAGCTTGTTTCTGTTTTAAATCTTCTCTGAATAAAATCCTCATTCCCGCCCCCCACCCTTCTTGGAACTTTAAACATTTCTTTTTATAATAGGATCACACCTTTTAAAAGTTACTGCTTTGTTTTATTAACTATTATATTTTTAAATGTTTTAAAGTTTTGTGAATTCTAATTATCTCAATTAGAATTTATGTTAATGTAGTATGGAATAATAAAAGGTTTTTTAAAAGGTCCAGATTGGTTTTTCTTACTAGTTTTATTATGTTTAGACCTCCTATACAGTAGTACAATAGATAGGAATTTATGTAGGCCACACTTTTCCCCCTTATTTTTATAGCTAATTGTGTCAAGACTATTCACAAGATTTTTAAATGACCTGAGCTTTTGAACAAGAGAGAAAACAGTGTGCCTGGATTGTGTCTTCATGCTCTTCTGATAAATTCTTGAAGGTGCCATTCTATACTCAAAGAGTTAATTTCTCATGGCTTTTAAATGCTCATGACCAGTGATCTTGGCAAATAATCTGGAGTCTAATTATAGACTTTTCAAGAATTTCACATTATGGTTATTTTTCAGACCTTCAGAAAACTTCTACCTTTTCTTGACTTCATTTTGACTGTTTCTCCCTTTTGATAATGCTGTTTGGAAACTGATTGTAGTAGTCATTGGTGAAGAGATGAAAAAATAGAAAATTAATATAAAATATTTATTAGACATGTTAATTTTCTATTTTTTCCCCCAATTCAGTTTTTAGTATAGAAAATATAACTCACTAGTTAAGGCTGGGTCTTTCTAGTAGCTTGGGATTTTACTCAGTTTGATCAGTAGCGCAATCAGAAAATTCATGAGAACTTCTCACCTTGTGTAAATGTGGCTCATTTTGTTTTAATATTTTGAGAAAAATAACATCAGCATGCTTGTGTTTATTTTTGAACTTGCTATTGGAGATGGGTCATCCTGCTAAAGGCTTAATTACTTAAAAACCAAAATAATTTAACAGCATGGCTCATCACAAATAGTAATGTTTAAGGACCAATTTAATAAGAGATTTTTCAGATACAAAGTTTTGTTTTTGCACGGGGTGAGAATCTCTTAGTATATTTTCTGATTGCTTTATATTTTTTATTTTTATTTTTTTTAAAGCTGTGTTATTTTTTAGTTCTTCATGCTTTGGAAGTAACAGTTGAAGAGAGGTGAGGAAAGTTTGTGAAAATTGTGATCGGTGATTAGCTGCCACCTGCCTGAGGTGTCTTCTGAGAGGAACTAACCTCTTTGTGGTGCTAGAGCAAGGTCACTGGATTAAAAAATGAACAGGTAATCATCTTATTCCTTGTCTGAAAAGTTCTAAAATTAATAAATGCAAAATGCCCAAGGTAATGTGAACTACAGTTTAAAGAAAGTTTTCAATTTTTTTCCTCAGAAACTAGTAAAGTGGACTATGTCCTTTTTCAAGCTGCCACAGCCATAATGGAAGCAGTTGTCCGAGAGTGGATTCTCTTGGAAAAAGGTAGCATCGAGTCACTGCGAACATTCCTTTTAACCTATGTCTTACAAAGGCCTAAGTAAGTACATGGAGGAAGTACTGCTAAAATACTTTTGTTAAACTTATGTATCTGTCTTTTTAGAGTGAGCTTTTTTTTTTTTTTCCTTTAATGATCGGTGTATGTGATTAAACTCTATATGGGACTCACAGTTTAAAAATTAATTTTAAAAACTAAATAAATAGAAAGATCCGAAGAGTAGAGGAAAGGAAATGGGGAGAGAAGAGGGGAGGGTAAGGGAAAGTACTGGGGACTGAATTAGAGCAAATTATATTCTATGCTTTTATAATCATGTCAAAATGAATCCTAATGTTGTATATAACTAATATAAACCAGTAAAAAGTCTAAAAAATTTTAAAAAGACTAACCAAAAAACCCCCTCATGCACATATGATTGTAGGGTTTTTGGAATTTAATAATACCTTTTCTTTCTTTTTGGGGAGAAGGATACCCGGAATTGAACTCAGAGGCACTCGATCGCTGAGCCACATCCCCACCCCTATTTTGTATTTTATTTAGATACAGGGTCTCACTGAATTGCTTAGTGCCTTGCTTTTGCTGAGGCTGTCTTTGAACTTTCGATCCTCCTGCCTTAGCTTCTTAAGCTGCTGAGATTATAATACCTTTTCTTAAGCTTACCGTATTAGGTTTATATTTTATACACACACACACACACACAGAAACATGCATAGAAAATGTTATATGACAAAAAGTACCACATTCTTTAAGTTTCCTTTGAGAAATGAGGTGAAAGTGAATTTTTCTTCTGTACTTTAAACATTTTATAAGACTATGTATTTATTGTTTGTATGATTTCTTGAGAAAAATAATTATTCAGCTTTTGGGGAGAACTTGATTTACTAATTTTTTAATGTCTCCCCAAACACCAAGTGTTCTTTCAAGAACAGGCAGTGCACATTATATGTTCGCTGTGCAGTTAAATACTTTCTCATTGACCTTTCCATGGTCAATGAGAAAAGTTTATTATGTAATCAGAAATGCACGAAGTTGGGAATGGTGATGATAAACATACATAAAAACTTAAATGCAGAACATTATTGTCATGCATTTGTTCTTATCAACTGTTGACTGTCAGTCTCTGAATTCATCTTATTTAGTAATAGTTACTGATATGACTTCAGCATTTATATTAATTTCTTTGCATACAGAAAAATGCATAAGAGTGAAGAGCCAGAGTTTGCTTAGGTTTTAGCGTTACCAATTTGACCTATAGATGAGCTGTGTGTGTGTGTGTGGGGGGGGGCAGCTATTGCCTATTTTTCTGATTTTTATAGAATAAGGGAGACTTACTCTTGGCTTTAAACTTTTCTCCTTCCTCCTTGCTTGCTTGTTTGGTTGGTTTTTATTTGGTGAGGCCATTTGGGTGTGATACTAGCTTGCCCTTTTATTGTTGCCATTTGACCATATTTGTTAGATCTGACAAGATTTTTCTTTGATCCTTCTGTATGTAACTAGAGGTAAGTATAAGTAAATAGAAGTCTTGACAGTGTCAGCAAGTGTTCGTTGCATTATTTTATTTCCTTTTTTTGCATACACCACAACTAGGGCATATTAAAATTTCTATTACAGGTTCACCTAGAGATATGATGTATGTTTTGTTGAATTTTACAGAGAAGGATACTTATTTTGATATATTCTTTACCCTAGTAAAATATGTTGAAATCAGTTTTGATAATATATACTATTGAACAGAAGTTGAGATAAGCTTGCACATTTATAGTTATGTAGTAAAAGAAAAGAAAATAGGCCAAGGCTTCTATGTTTATGAGTTTATATGTAGGAAGTTTTTTTTTTTTTTTTTAAATCTTTTGTCCCCTAGACCTAAAGTGTTTTCTGAAAAGCAGTCTATTTATGTAACCTTGGGGAATTGATGTAAAACCTGAATATTCTCGTTTTTGACCGTGAAACAGGGACTTGGTAGCCATGTCTTGTGGTTAGGATCCAGATCACATGAGACTGAGTTCTGGCGCTCTAGCTGCTGTAGCCATCTCTGTGAAGCAGCCTTTCCTAAGAAGTCAGGATCACATGGGAGCTTCTGGCTAGATCTGTTTGTTAACACAACATAACTCCCAGCCTGGGAACTCAGAACTCTGTACAACTTGATAGACTTCAGTGTGTGACAGATTTGCATGGTGTTTATGTGTGTGCTTTCTTGTATTATCCAAAATAATAATTTGAAACTTTTTAGAATGGATTATAGGGTTCCATATTAAAATAGTTCACTTATAAATTTTCCTCCAAACATTTATCTGAAACAATTTAAAATGAAACTTCTTAATAGTACATTGAACACATATATACCCTTTTCTTAGTAGTGGCTCAGTTAACATTTCATCACATTTTCTCTGAGCCATTTGAGAGTATGCCTCACACATCATAATACCATATCCTTAACTACATGAGCATAATCTCAGTACTGTTGACATAACTTTTATATTTTTATTATTTAATATATTTCTAATTCTTATTTGGAGTTGTTCATTTGTCTGATTTTTATTTATATCCCTTTTCCTCTTTTAGGTTATTTTAAAAAATATTGCAGTCTATCTCTTCCTTCAGATCTATTAAAGTGTGCTTTACATATAGTTATTTTTAAAAATCCAGAATTTAACCATAGATTATACATTGTATTTAGTTATGTCTCTTTAAATCTAGAATTATTCTGCCCTTTTCATCTTTCATGTCACAGGCATTTTAATCTTATAGAATGCCCTAAAATGTGAGTCAAACCAAAAATTTTTGGCTTGCTACATAGGTAGAACACTACAGGTTGTATTGTATTGACTAGTATACCTTTGTCTAGTATAGTTGTGTACTTTACATTTCTTGCTCATAATTTTTTCTTTTCTATTTTTTCCTCTCCTATGGTAAAATTTATATGGCGTGAGATACATAGTGCTCTTCCATAGGAGATCCCTTCAGTGCTGAAGATTGAACTCATGGCCTTGGGCATGCTCAACAAGTGCTTAGCACTGGGCCACATCCCACATTCCACAGTCCAGCGCCCTCCCCCCAACCCCCTCTTTAGAGAGGCAGGTATAGATAGCATAGTAGTTGAGATAGGGACTTGTACCTGACTTCTGCCACGCTGAAACCCCTGCAAATTAGTTGACTAATTTTTTGTGCATTCATTTTAGGATAATTAAATGAGTGAACAGTAGTACTTAACCCCAGATTGTCATAAGGATTAAATGTGTTAATTTTTGTGAAGTGTATGTAAAGCCTTGCATATCATAAGAACTCAATGCTATTATTTATTTTTTAATGGTTTCTAATTCTTGTTGATGGATATTTATAAAACTAGCTTTTATGTATGTTTTTAGTAGTAGTTTTCAACTTCATTTGTTTGTTTATTTAGTGATGGTACTAGGGATGAACCCAGGGGTGCTCTACCACTAGGTAAAAGGCCCACATCCACAGCCCTTTTTATTTTTTATTGTGAGACAGGGTCTCACTACATTGTCTGGACTGGCTTTGAACTTGTAGTCCTTCTGCCTTAGCCTCATGAGTTGCTGGGATTACAGGTATGTATCACCATGCCTGGCTTTATGTATATTTTTAAATTTTTATATGTGTATTATGAAAGTATTTTGCCCCCCTCCCCCAAAAAAAATATATATGTATAAAATTCTCTTTGGTCAACAAACATTTTTGTACTTAAGCACTTATTTGCCTACTGAATGAAGGATGAATCATTCAAATCTAATATTTTCAATATTTTTCACTTCAGGCTTGACCTAGGTAGACATATTTATTCATTGTATAAATGTTGAATAAATACCTATTATATGGCAGACAATGTGTCTTGCTTATAATAGTGTTCTTAGAATGGTGGTTGATCTGGGAGATGAGTTAAACAGTATTAACAGATGTATCATGTTATGTGGGGGTGCCTTGGGAGCCCTTAGTAGTAACTTCCTGGACAAAGTGAAATCACAGTCTTACCAGAGGGAGTAGAACTGTGTAAGAGCATGGATCTAGGAACTGAAAAAAGTTCAGTAGGTCTGCAGTTTTGAGTGTATGTGGAAGGAGTGAGGTTGGAAAGAGGAGCAGGCACCTGGCCATGAAAGGCCTTCCAAATGGATAACCATATAACTTATGTCTAAACTGGGACAGCTCTGAGAGTGAAAGTAAGCATTGTTAATAATTATGTGGAGAGTAGGTAAATTGAGCCTGCTGTAGGAAAATCAGGATGGGCCCCAGAGCTGCTTGTAACCCAAGGGCTGTTGTATATAAATTCATGTTTTATGAGCCTTACCTTTAAGAAAAAGTCGAGAAAAGGTGTTTTAAATCTCAGTGCCCTTGTTACCAAATGGGTTTTGTAAAATGCTTCGACTAGAGATAGGTATTTTTGCCATCATACAGAGGAGCAGAACCTAGATGGGAAACTTTAAGTTTGTTTTAGAATATGTATGTTTCCATAATATTATACCTTGGATAGCTAGAATTCTGCCTTTTCATGTGGATGGTGATGGGATTTATGATTATGCTACTGATTGGAGATGGATATTAGATCATAATTTTTCTTAATATCAGTAATCCCCTTTCCCCAAATATTTACCAGGGAACTCATTTAACCTATATTGAACACTGCCTAAAGTGCTTGATACTAGGCACAATCCGAGGGACATTTAATCCTTATAATAATTCTGTTAATGTTACCCTCATTGTACAGAAGAGAAGACAGAGGTACTGTTTTGCCCAGGGTCAGACAGACAATAAATTATGCAACTTGGACTTGAACATAGGTTTTCTGGCTTTGGAATCTGTACATAACTAGTAGGGAGGGTATCCTGGTCTCAGATATAAAGGGTATTATTAGTAGTTTCAGGCCTAGTGAGAAGCTTGAGAATATTTTTATTTTAAATTTAGTTAAATGTTTTCATTATGATTTTTATGTTTTATAGCCTCCAGAAGTATGTTCGGGAACAGATTCTATTAGCCGTAGCAGTAATTGTAAAACGAGGATCATTAGATAAATCAATTGACTGCAAAAGCATTTTTCATGAAGTCAGCCAGTTGATAAGTAGTGGCAATCCCACTGTGGTGAGTATGCAATTTGTATGTATAAGTATTAAATTTTTTATTTTTACTTCACAGCTAGCATTATACCAATAGTAGTATGGATTTCTACATAAAAGAAAAAGTGTGCTAATAAATCAAGAAATTTTCACTGTTCAAGTTTTCTTTGTTTTTTAATGTGTATATATAATTTACATGTAGTGTATTTTGCTTTTGCATTTGATTGTTTTTATATATTGCCATAATATTCATAATCATCATTTTAATTGGTTGTAAAATATCTTAAATTAATATATTATAATATTCTTAGTCATTTCTGTTGTGCTCTTAACATCCATAGCCCATTAAAAATTCTTTTTTTGAGATAAAGTCTGAGTTGCCCAAACTGACCTTGAACTTGGGGTTCTCCTCCCCCAGACTCCTGATTAGCTGGAATTATAGGTCTGTGCCTTTGTGTCTGATATTTTTTCCCATTTTTAAATAAACCTTGGACAACTACTGTTTATTATAGAACTGTTTGAATTAAATATAAAATGACATTTGGCAAAACAAAAATCATTAATAGTTGCCTGGGATTGAGCTGCAGATACTTAACTCATATGATAACTGTTTCTAATACTTAACTCACCCATAAATTATATTGGCAATACCTGTTCATTCTGATTCTCAAGAATTAAATCTTTAAATATTTTTGAGTAGTTATTATTATTATTATTATTTTTTCCTTTTGCTTTCCACAGTTTTTTCTTGAATCATTTGAGAGAGATCTATGTGAGCCCATACATCATACAATTCTTTTGGAATTCCTTTGCATCTTCAGTGGCCTCTCAGTAAAGGGCTGAGGTTTTTATATTTTTTTCATGGTGCTGGGGATTGAACTCAGGGCCTTGTGCATGCTATACCCCCACCCCAAGTGTATGATTTTAATGATATACTTGATGCTTTGAGATTAAGATGTAGTTGTACATTTTAGGAGGGTTGTGTGCATTGTCCTTTACTTTTCACTTTTACGTCTGGCCTTTTACCATACATGACTGTATACTTATCTCACTGCTCTGGACATCTGCTGGGGTCTAGACTGAAGGAATCTATAAGCAAGCTTGTTAGAACTATGGAACTCACTTACTAAACACGCCCTAAGTTTCTTTCCTCCCCGTTGGAATTCACCAGTGATCAAGTGTTTATTTTTTTCCCTTATCAATTTTATTGAGGAATAATTTGCATTCATTACTGCATTTATTTAAAATGTACACTTCAGGAGATTTTTGTAATTACTTATAACATTAAATTATTACCAGAATCAAAGGTACAGAATATTTGTTGTGATTTTTTTATTGTGTGCATTTGTGTGTTATGCCATTTTTGTGGCAGATTTCTTTAAGTAGTGCTGTTCAGTAGAATTTTATTGGTTGGTAGAAATGTTCTATATCTGTTCTTTTTTTTTTTTGGTACTGGGTATTAAACTCAGAGCCACTCAACCACTGAGCCACTATTTTGTACTTTATTTAGAGACAGGTTCTCACTGAGTTGCTTAGTGCCTTGCTTTTGCTGAGGCTGGCTTTGAACTCGCAATCCTCCTGCCTCAGCCTCCTGAGCCACTGGGATTACAGACATGCGCCACTGTGTCTGGAACTATATCTGTTCTTTTCATTATGTAGGTACACTAGTGATATGTAGCTTTTGAACACTTGGAATGTGTGACAAGGAACTGAATTTTTAAATTTATTTAATTTTAATTAATTCAAGTAACCATATGTAGCTAGTGGCAACCATATTGAACAGGGCAGTTCTAGAGATATTGATAATCCAAGGATTTAATTTTATGCCCTTTTACCTTAATATTGTGAATATCTTAGTATTGTGAAATCTAATTTTTAAATTAATCTAATTGTTTATTAAACTAGAAAAACGTACATTTTTTAATCACCACATTTTATAAAGCATTTTGATTTTATGTAGTGGAAATTTCTTGAAAATGATCCTGTGATAAGAGTCAATTTACAAGTTTTGAGATGAAAATTATTGAGAAGATACTTTTTTACTTAACATTATTCTCTATAGTCTCAAAGATCGCTTTTATTGGTAGATGTGTTCTTCATTTCTGATGGAGAACTTAACTCTTGAAGGTTGATGCTTTAAGGATACCTCAGTAGTTGCATAATGACAGTCTTGTTATTTGTGCAGATTTTGATAGTAGTTTGCTTCCAAATTTAATGGCATGTGTGCAATCCAATGCTGGCTGTCACAGAGGGCTTAGAGGAAAAGTGCTAGCTACTATGGGCAGGGAAAAGGTTTAAAACAGAAAGTCCTACTGCATACTAGCCCTGAATGCTCTGAATCAAGTTACTTCTCATATTTTAGATTTTGCTTAACACATCTTGTTTCATTTTGACAGTCCTGTAGTTAAGAGTCTAGCTTATTGCAATGGACTGAATTTAAATTTGAGGAACTTTACCAGTGACGCTGAGATCTATCTATAACTAATGCCCTTTCTGTGCTAGTTTAGTGATCATTCCAGCTGGGATTTTGTTGTTGAGATTTGCAGCCTGTCTTCACCCGCTACAAGTAACCTATTGGCACTAGGACACTGCAAGCAAGGGATAAAGAGTCCCTTGCCTCTCTCAGGAATGAGCACATACTCGGGAATTGTGTTCTCTACTTCCTTTCCTCTGGGGTAATTTGACCCAGCACAAAAAGTAGTCCACTGCAAACTGACAATTGGGGTTTTCCAAGGCACTGAAATAACTGATGTTCTGAGAATGATTAGAACAGATGGAGCTGTTTAGTTAGAGAAGATTTTGCTATATTCACAGTGTGTATACTTTGAGAATATAAGTAGGTAAATTTAAAAATCTTATAAAATACTCCACAACAAAGACTTTCTTTTCAAAGTCAAATTTCTAATATTAGGGCCAAGAACTTGTATAGTAGTAAGAATCAATAGTTAGAGGTAGAATTTCATTTCAACATTGTAAGATAAATTGATTTTGATGACTACAATGAAAACATTAAAACTTAAATAAATAATTTCTATGGCAGGTGAAATACACACACTGGCCTTCCCTGTTTGTCCTTGCTCAGTAGCTTGAAACTAGCTCATTCAGCCTTTGGAAGAGTATTGGGTTTTGGTTGGTTGTTCTCCTGTGCTAATTTCATGAATGTGTTTTATCCAAGTTTAAGGGTAATGTAGTATATGTAATAAAGCACTGGTTTTGAATTCTACTTAGGTTTAAAGTGTAGCTTTGCCATTTACTGCCTATGTAACTTGAACAAATTATTTAACTACTATAGGCATATGTAAACTAAATGTGATGATACCATTTCAGGGACTGCTCACTAAGCAGTGTTTGTGCTTCTTCCCGTGTGGCCTTTCGCCCCATTTTTGTAGAATCTTTAGAAAGTGAACTATAGTAAATCATCTCTATCAAACTTTTAAATATTGAAAAGCAGAAGAAAGTATCCATAATGAAAACTAATTATTTTTATATTTTAAAAGATACAGATAAGTATTAGATGAGTTTCCTTTAAATGTTTTAAGAAGTAACTTACAGTCTTGGTTCACTCCAGAGAGTTTTATGGAAAGATTACATTCAATTCATAAAACTTTTTCTATTCCTTAGTATAGTTTTCCATGTGTCATGGTGTGTTCTTAGTGTAGTTATGCATGTATGGTTATTAAGTAATATGTTATTTTATGCCTGTCTTTGTGGGCAGGCTGTTTTACTTCTATGCTTATAAAAGTTACCGTGGTTACCTCATCTCAGTTGGCAACTGTCAGACCTACTAGTTTGAAAGGCGTATGGAAACTTTCTTTCCTAGGGAAGCAACTACATTTAAAAAAATTTTAAGCTAAGATTTAAGCTAAAATTTTTAATGCTTCATGTTTGTCTTCCCTTGTAAGTAGCAAGACTAAATCACTTTTAAAGGTGTTTAATTCAGCATTTAAGCCCCTTCACTCCTCTTTGCCATGTTAAAGAGAAGTGAGTGAGAAATTCACTTGTCTACAGCATTGCTGCCCCTGGATGTGATAGCCAAGTTAATCTCTCTTATCACAAAGTCTCATTGATGTTTGCTTAGAAGAGCAGCTGGAAGTCTCCTTTATGTATGGCAACCTTTCATAGTTTATTCTTGGTAATAAGGCTCCTGGGGCAAGAGCCAGGCTATTATAAGAGACAATCCTCTCTCTGAACAAGAGCATTTTATTTTGTCAGCTGGAGTTAGTGTTTGAGTTTCTTGTGCTTGTGACAGTAAGCTGGTGAGTAAGGCAAGTTATCTCTGAAGGGCCTTCCCCCACCCCCACTAGCATGAAAATAATGGCTTTAATTAGAAATGAGAATGCTGCTGTAAAGCTTTTGATGTGAAGACAAGAGTTACTTAAAATTGTTAGCCAGTTTATTAATTTGAATTTTCAGTACTTCAGTGAAAGAAGACTTCTGTGAAGACTTTTTCATAACTTTGGGACCTTATGGCATTGCCTTCTATTTATTTTACATATTTAAATTTTCTCTTTGAAATTTTATAAAGAAAAAAATAAAGATCATATATTTCTTTTCCACCTTCCTCTTGTGTTAACATAATGATAAGCATAGAAATAAGCATTGATTAAGTAATTCAAGGAATATTTACTGAGCATCTACTATATTACTTTAATGATGCTGTAGTTATGGTTATCTTTTAAAATGACAACTCTTTTAATTTGCTTGAACATAGATAACAATCAAGAGGCGTGTGTGTGTGTGGGGGGGGTGAAGACAAAACAGACGGTAGTTATTTTATGGTAATGGTAAAAATACCCCTTCCACTTTATCTCACCATGACCTGCTACATTGATATAGCACTTTCAGGTGTATTATTTAAATTGAAACTTAGGGCAATCATGTGAAATTAAGCAGGGCAGAGGGTAGTAACCAGTAGACAGCTGTCGCTACCTTCAATAAAGTGCCTTGTCCACAGTTTTTTGAAGTGGGAAATCTTGGCCTGTTAGAACCCAGATTTTTTTGGCACCTGGGCCAAACAGTAGGATT